GTAATAAAAGACTTTCCAGTTTTCATAATGTTAACTGAAATTGAAAACGGTTTTAATCATCAGTAGCTTCATTATGGGTACTCAACGACACAACTACTTGTACTTAGTAAATTTCACAAACTAACAACCGAAAATGAAACTAATATGGATATAGATAAAAATCAATAACAACAACAACAAAAAAAGCGTAAAATCAAAAATCTACGTTGATCTCATAGACGTCTAAAAACCAGCAATATTTCTTACAGTATTATCACTTTGAAAATTACTTTTAAATTATTTATCTTAAAAAGTTCACAGAACCGATTGACGCCAAATTAGTCAACAATTAATTTGGCAGGCCTGCACAGAGAAAATTCCGATAAAGATTAGATTTACAAATTGCTTATTGTTGTCTGAAAAGTTCCATTTGGTTTGTCTAGTGAATTGTTTCAACTGGCTATTACAAACAGCGTACCATTCAGAAACCGTTTCCTCAAAAAATATTATTTAATACGCATGTTTCACAAAAAAACTTCTTTTGGAGAGACGCTAACGGTGATGTTGTCCGTAAAGTGACGATAACTGAAGAAAAATTAAAAGTGGACAACCAAGAACTGTTAGAGAGCAGTATATTTGTTGGCAAAGGTAGTAAAGAAAAAAAAGAGAACGATAAAACATCCCAGTAATGTTGACAGAATTGTTGCCATCTGTACTAAAAGAATTTTAAAAATTGATTTTTAAAAATAAAATTGTAACCATCAACAAAGGAGAAGAGAACTTATCCTGTGGGAGACAGTGCAGCAATTCTAGTACAAGAATTAGTTGTTCGTTTACATTTCTTAGTTAATAAATTAATAGCAAAAAAAAAAAAATTTATCTTTACTTCCACCAGTTGTTTCTTTAGTTGGTAAATAAATAACTCATAAAGATTTAGCAGTCATAAGGCTGTTCAGAAAAAAAATTAATCAATTAATTAAAAAGAAAAAGCTTTTCTGACAACCATACAATCTTCAGTTAACACAGAAGCCGCCTTACTCAGCAAATTTAACACCAATGTACCGCTACTTTTTCAGAAAATCCTTTAACCAATTGTCTTACAGAGCATTAAAAGAACTTGACTAAATATAATCTATAAGATACAGTAATGTTTAGTCTGCGCGATGCCTTCAGGTCAAGAACTTCGAACATAACGAGTAAAACTCGTCGACCTATGAACGGTATGCGAACTTTACTGTTCGGCAATATTCCAGCAGCCGATTGTTAGTTGTTAAGCTTCCTTACAGTCAGTTTATTTAAGCGCAATGGTAAACGTTCAGAATGATCAGAGTTTTTGTGTGTGTGTGTGTGTGTGGGTAGTAATCTTGATCCTTTTTTTTTTTTTCTGACTTACATTTTAACTTATATTTCCACATATTAATATTTTGCAGCTATGAAAATATCTTGTATATATATATATTTTTTTTTGTACATTTAATAGGTTCATTGAGAAGAAGAGTTTTTGTTTATAAAAATCAATTCACTTTATACTTGTTGGTTAACCAGTAAATGCAATTTTTTTGTCAAGTTTTTTCTTTTTTGTTATAATGAAGAGTTTATAATTTTAACGCAAAAAATCTTTCAGAATTGTTGCTATATTTTTCTTACTATTGTAGTCATCCCAATACCAGTGGCTATGAATAATTGCCACAAACAGTTTTAATGCCGCTGACAGTTTTAGATGGAAATGAAGGGGTTGTCGAATGTTGGGACACTTATTTGTTAAAAAATCAAATCTTTATTTGTAATTCTTCTACTGAAATTTTTTGAATTTATTTCTGCGCTGTCATCATGCGTGTATATTTCTTCAGCAGCTGTCTTTTATTTTCAACTTGAAAATCAAATAATAAAATGTTGCTGTTTCATTGTACAGTTGAAGAATAGAAAGTTGAAGGTTCGAAAAAACATCGTATAGTATAATGTAATCTTATACATTTTTTCAATTTTCTATTGATTTATGTTATAATACTAGATCCTAATAAAACTTTTTGTCTTGCTGGTTGGCAAGTACAATAAGCGTCAGGGTCTTAATTAGCTACACTTGTGCTTAAGATGGGTTTGAGTTTCTTATCTCCATTTAAGGCTGTGGGATGTGCAGAATCTGTCAAACAGCACTGCTCTTGAAATTAGTTTTTTTTCAAGCAAGTTCAAGAAAATGCTTCTTATTTTGAAATCTTTAGAAATTTTGAGAAAAATGCAACGTTTTTCTGAAAGTATTATAAGTGAGCAAAGCGTGGCACAGAACTTCAGATGCAGGAGTTAGAAAAATTCTTAGCGCAGACAGTCATCGGTTAGGCGCGATGAAGCAATACAGCGTTAGGTTGTCTTGCAAGAAATCCTAACTTCCATACTGATTTCTTCTGATTTCCAGGAACTTGACAGACAGCCGAAACAAATGAACTTATGCACACGTTGAGTACTACTTACTCAACCGTTTTAGATTTTAATGCGTGAAATTCTCAGTCAAGCATCGGTTAGGTTAATAAAATTCGTATGTTATCCATCACTTCCTCAATTTATTAACGTGCATTTCAGTTTGCTGGCTAAATTTATTTATTTGTTCTTTTTTTGTTTCTGTTTTACTTGAGTTTGTTTTTAGCTTATTGACAGCAGCTATATAGCTCATTGAGTGCAAATTTTTTCTTGCTCTTTAGAACAGTCAATGAGTATTGCTTTTTTTTTTCAAAACCGTTCTATATAACGTTTTCAAAGTGTTACGAAGTTAACAAGGAAAACTCCTGCAGGTTTCAGGGTTAAAGTGAAGATAGTATTTCTACAGCAAAGACATTAAGTAGTGATGTCACAAAGTAAGGGAAATGGTTCCAATGACTCTTTGAAAAGAGCAACAGATTTAATGAACGTTAATCATCTAAAAGGACGCAAGCAATCGAGGAAAGTAACACTGGCTGTTAATAATGCTTTCCAGAAGATTCGTCAAGGTTGTTATAAGATTTTTTTTCATTTAAATGTTGGCAAATCAGTAATTGGCTAGTATTTTTAATTACAAGATTTGAATAAATTGATTTTGACAGTATTTTACAGTGTAGTTGCTTTTTGATGGGCTTTTGGAAAATATTGAGTTTAGGAAGGCATAAATGTGATTGCCAGGCAAGAGTACACGGTCTTGTACGTAACTGCATGCAATGTGGCCGTGTTGTTTGTGAGCAAGAAGGCAGTGGGCCTTGTTTTTTCTGTGGCAATCTTGTCTGTACTCGCGATGAAAGACAGGTTTATTTTCGTTGACTTTATTTAGGTTCTTTTATTGTTTATGGTTTTTTATCTTTTAGTTATTAAGTTAATAGATGCTCGAACAGAAGAATCTGAAAGGCTGCTTGTTAAACTCATGGGTCGAGGGAGTAAGCGCATTAAGAGTGATTGGGCGAATGCCAGTGCTGCATTAAACGAAGCAGAAGCCTTCAAAAATAAACTGTTGGCTGCTGATGCTGACCGGTCATTTTTATCTTCTGTGGAATTTTTTTTAATCGAGGAAAATGATATAAAGACAAAATTCTATTACATTTTGTATCGTTTTAAGAAAATTTTTTGTTTATAATTTTAGTGAAAAGCAAAACCGAGTAAATGATATGGAGTCAAATTATTATGCCATGGAAAATGACATCTTCTTGACAAAGGAAGTGAGCTGTTGATTAATCGTATTGAGGAATAAATTTAAATTTTAGGAATTTATTTACGATTAAAAGTGAGTACTTGATAATTTGAATTAATGCGTGAAGTTTCTACTTTTACACTTTAGGAGAGAGAAGCTATTTTGGCTAGGAAAGAGGAACTTAGAGATATAAGAGCCAGAAGAAAGCGTTCAGTGGTCATTGATTTGAGCTTGTCATCCGAGCCTGTTACTGAGGTTTTAAATCATTTTATTATGTTTTTTAAAGAAGGGGTTAGAATTATTGTTAGTTTTTTTAATTTTTTCTTTTTCCTGGGATCACTTTGCTTATACTTCTCTTCTGCCTCAATTTGTAAGTTTTTTACAAGTAAATTAAATAACGAATTGTGCTACATGAACACATTAGTCGTTTTTTTTTTGTAGGTGTACTGTGATTTTTTTTTTGAAAATCGCATTCCAAGACTTCATTTGGGATATTTTTAGTCTGCTAATATTGATACGCCTCTGGAGGAAGACCCTGTTCTGCAAGCTATATTTAAAAAAGCTCATCAAAGACAGCAGAAGAATAACCTTACTCGTAAACCTTATTTGACTCCAAAAGAATATATCCCCCGGGTATAGCATTCTTTTCGTTTGTAAAATTGTAATGTGGAAAGGATTGGGGACTGTTTTTTAAGTCTGATGAATTTTTTTGACTGAAATAAGTGTTGACAAATCGGTTCCTTTAATCAATAAAATATTTTTTTTCAATTATTTTTGATTGATTACTGAACTGGACTTTGTTTGCATTTAGTATGACGAAAGAATTGGTCGGAAGATTAGGCAAGTTGCCGACGAAGATACGGATGTTGACGAAAACTTTTATAGTCAATTCAACATGATGATGTATTCTGAAGTAGAAAGGAAAGGTTTTGCTTTTGCGTTAGAACAGCCCGTTGCTTCACTTTTGGCATTGGGTATTCGAAGGTAATTTGGCTTCAGAAAATGCCTTTGCAGCTTAATTTTTCCTCCTGTCTCTCAAATTTGTTCTAAAATATGATAATGTACAGGTTTTAGGCATATTCCTTGGTTTGAAGATGTTTATCTCAGAGGCCCTGTTTTGATAGCGTCTTCCACTCGCTTTCCGTCTTCGAAGGCTGTTGATGAAGAGGTAGCTCGTTGTCGAGAACGAATGGCTGTTTCTTCATATAGTAAGAGATCAGAACCTTATATCTTAGCCAATTTTTTCTGTATTCGGTTATATAACCTTTCGCCTAAGTACTTGTTGACTGGTTGCAGTTCGCAAAATTACTTAAATAAATCTATTTTTCAGTAACTTAGTTTAAGGCAAATTGAAATTTGGAAGAGACGCTCATGATTATTAGACATTGCTGTATTTTATAAACCGCCTGTTTCAACACTTTTTATGATATTAATCAATTCTGGAGCCTAATTTTTAGTGATTTCTTCGTTTTTCTTCACCAATCTTCAATTCTTGAGCATATCTTCTTTCCTTCTTCTATTATTTGTAAGCTTAGACTTCGATGAGCTTGGTAAAGTCTTATAAGGTCTATGAATTTCCAATCAGGTTACCTGTTGCTTAGTTTTGAGTGTTCTTGGTAGTAATGGGAAAAACTGTTCTTTGATTAATATCATAAAAAGTGTTGAAGCAGGCGGTTTATAAAATACAGCAAAAAAAAACTGAAAAAAAACTATTTACTTTTTTGTAAAGTAATTTTATTTTTCATTTTTCTGTAAAATTACTGTCTATTATTCTGAGTTTAGAGCCCCTCCTTTTCTGGTGTTTCGAAGTTTAAAGTGTAGAATAATGAAAGAGGAGAAAAAACAACAATTCTTTTTGCCGTTAGTGGTGCTATTCTAGTTTAACGGTTCATGTCATAAACGATTTTTGCATATTTTAATCAGTGGCCAAAAAAATTTTGGTTTACTGCATTGTCTTCCTAGATGAGAAATTCACTGATTTGCCATTTCCTTTTTCTTGCTGAATCTCATTTTTAATCTTACATTTCTGCTAAAAGTTCTTTTCCAGAAAAATTTTTACTGAACTTTTTTCAACGGCTGATTAGAGAAAAAAACGAAATTGGGAAAGGCGAGTGTCGTTTTTATGGTTTTTTCCGCCTGGTAAATTGTATCGCTGGAAGCAAATCAATGGTTGAACCTTTTTTAAATCTCATTTTCTGTGATCGGAAAAAAAACTAGTTTTTTTGTAGCGTTGTTGAGAGAGCACTTAGTTTGATATTTCGCGAAACAGTTTATTGTTTTACTTATACTGGGAATTCCGTATTTTGTGAGGCTAAAAGGATAGAGATAAAAAGATTCAGAAGGAAGCCATTTTTTTATTTCGTTTACTAAACATTCTGGATTAAATTATTTTTTAATTCGTTAGAGACAGTTGGTTGCCATTAAAAACTTTTCTGGTTATTTTTTGGATATTTAAGGTAAGTTTACTTGTGGCCTGATTCAGTTACTGTTATTTTTGTTTTTTATTTTATTGTATTGATGAAACTTAGTTGCACGGGTTAGGACGTGATTAGTAGTTTTTTTTGTATCAAATGTCAAAGATTAGGCTCTGTTTTTTTTGTTGAATGCCTCATTTATCTGTTCGCTCTAAGCTGTTTGCAACGGCTGTCAAATGTTGCTTATGTTTTCATACTTGCGCATGCTGTTATACCTCCAAGAGGTGGTGTCGTTATACACATTTCTTAGTTTGCAAAGGTTGTACGCTATTAAGCTTTGGTAGATAAGACGCAACTCTTTCTTTTTTATTATTTGAATTTTACTCAAGAATATTTATCGATAATTTTTTTTATTTCACATCAAACGATGATAGCATTGAAAATGCAAAAGTAACTTTTGAGGTAAACAACGAGATTTTCCGCTGTCATATCCAACTGGTGTTATTGTCGGTCGGGCGCTTCTTTCAGAATGCATCACACTTGACGAGTATCGACAGCAGGTATTTAAATTCGTTTTTTTGTTGGCTTTATATCAGTAGCATTTAACTCATGTTTGAGAAGAAATTAGGTTTAGAAACTGGTAAAATTTCGTCTTTTAGTACACCGACAACGAATTTGAAACGTCATCCCAAGGTTTCGTTTTAATCTTCCATACTTTTGAACCACTCTTGGTTCCCGTGCCTCATATACCTCCGTCGTCCGACTTCTACCGGGTCGACAGAGTCCTACATGCAGCTATCAAACAGATCCTTGATCCGTACAGTCTGTCGTAGCGGATGATAGCTCTCGAGATTTTTATTAGAAGTCACTGAATCTTTCTAATCTTTACCTGCTTTGTATTCTTTATGTGAGGCTACATTCTTTTTCTTGTTCTGTGTTATTTTTTTTCTGCAGTGATTTATACATTGTTCTTTCCAAGCAAGCTTACGAGATTTTTTTACATTTAGGGGTCACTTGTCTGCAAACACTCAATGTCAGCGCCTAACACAAGTGTTGGCTGCTTTTAAGTCTATTATTGTGATTAGCTAAAATAATATTATTGCTGGATTTTTAATTTGGGAAAAGAAAGGAAGAATTTAGCTTGGACTTTGCTTTCCCATTGTATGTCACCGTCGTGTTTAGCTGTACTTTGTGGATTATTGTTGCTGCCTTTTATACGGTCAAAGTCTGTCCGTACTCTCTGTTGTTTTACTACTAATCAACTTTTCAAATATAATGATCATTCTTTAACTAAAGTTTTTTCTAAAATTCTTATTTGAAAAAGTGGTTTTTTTTGTTTTTATTGATTTCAGACTTTACTGTGATAGTCGTTTCGTAATGTATTTTTTGGGAGATAAAATCATGTGCTGCAAAAGGCGGTTTTTGAATTTATCATGAGAGGTCGATGGTCTCTGGTTTACTTCTTCCCTCTTCATTTTTACGAATGGTTTCTTTCAGTGACCTACGTAGAAGTGGTAATAGTAATCTCTTGGAATATTCTTTTTTTGCTAATTTTGCGCTTGGTCTTGTAGTATGCTCTAAATGTACACGCTTGGTGGTACACACTCTATTTGACATGGAGAACGATGCAGTGGGTCCACGTTTTTTGGGCTTTGAGGGTGATAATGTAAGTTAACAAGAAGTTTTAGTCACTTTTTGTTCTTTTCACCTAATCGTTTATTGGGGACTGTTTTCTACATTTCTTGGGCAAAGTGCTATCAGTTTTTTGGTGGGGTTTAAACCACTTCCAATTCGTAGTTTTCCGTAGTATCTATTCTATTTTCCGTTGGTAAAGTAACACTGGTGAAATGTTGTAGATACAATAAAACTAAAATGTCTTGACTGTGACCCCATATCTTATGTATTCTTTCTTTTGATTTGATTTTTTTGTTTATTTGTTTTTCTTCAGTGTTTTTTTCAAATTGGTGATACGCTACATAGTTTTAGTAATATGTTTTACAGTCCGATTTAGGGCGAGGTTATGGAGAAAGCGGTTAAGGCAAGCGGGTTTTCTACAATTTGGTCTCAACCTATAACAGTATATCGTACACTAGTTCAGTTTGGTTATAGTCCATTACCTTTATATACGGCATTTGGTCATCGGTTTCGGTTTACTCGTGGATTTCTTCCATATGGTTATCATTGACTGTTTATAGTGAAATATCTCACGTCTGCGAAAGACAAAGAAATAATTTTTGTTTGATTGGTTATTTCTATTATAAATTCTTACGTAACATTTCATAACATTTCACTTTGTTGGGCAAATGATACAGTTGATTCTGTGAAATCATTGTTTTTTTTGAACCACTTCTTTCTTATTCTTTATTCTGTTATTTTTTTGCCATTGTAGTGAAATTTATAGTTCGTCATCTTGGTAGTGTTTATGGAATCAGTTCTTTATGGACGGGACTGGAAATTGCTTTTGTGCGTGCAACCGTTTCGACAGCAGTTAAACAGTTTTTGTATCGGGTAATTTTTACATTCTTGCAGTTTTTTCTAGTATAGCTATCGTTTTTTGTCTGAT